CTTTATTTGGACAACTTCAAGACGTCTTCAAGATGACGTCTATAACTGGCCTAAACAATGACGTCATATACGCATCCATTATTAGTCGTCGACGTCATATATCAAAAAATGACCATGTATAGACGTCTCTATGTCGTCTTTCGACATCAGTCTGCTACTTGGGTTGTTATTTGGGAAGTGGTTGAAATAGAAAGACTCTTGATTAATATTTATACAGACACAGAATGTTTTATAAATGTACTTGTCATCATCATTTTTTATTGTGAAAAATGTGAACAAAACATGCTGCATGAAAAACCGAGCGCATAAACGAGATGGTATACGTATAGAGGCTTTTGTAAATAATCTTAAAGTTATTATCAAAAATAATACTTTGAAAAATAACATTATAATATATGATTGAATTAAATTAAAATAAGCTTTAATTTGGTTATAAAAGATTTTCAAAATTTTGATTAAAATGTTGAGTATTGAGAGTACATAAAAAATAAAAAATAAGAAATTTTTATTATTGTTATATAAATAAAGCACGTTGAAAACTATACAACTTTTATTAAAAACATTTTTTCTATCACTCATAGCTTCGACGATATTCGCTTCAAAAGGAAATACCAATCTTTTTTTAAAGAATGTTTCACCTTTTAAAAGTATGTATCGACATGTCTAAAAAAATATGAATTCCCTATTTTTGTCTAGAAAATGACACATTCAAAGCTCATTAAAATCGAAAAACTTCAATATTATTGAATTATGTTAGTGCTTAGTATGTTCGCTTGACAGTAAAGAATCGAGAACTGAGGGGGACAGTCTTGAATTAATTGGCACAAGTTTTGATTGAGAACACTTTATTGTATATATTCACTGGGCTGTATGCTGCATGGCGCGTAACCGTAAAACAAAAAAATCAATCGGAAGAAAGTCCGCCGAGACAGAAATCGCGACGCGAACGGAAGTCTATGATGGTTCGATTTGGAGCGCCTCCGACTGAAGGCACGCGGACACGACGGATCGCAAAAACTCGTGAGAATCGTTGCTAGAGACTCAATACAGCAGTGAGGTATTTCGGCGACCGATAGACAACGACTGACTTATTTGCGTGAAAAACAGCCTCGAACCGCCGGGAATCGGTATACGCGAGCACCGAATTCGCGGTTGTGCATCGATTCTCGACGGTTCAAGACACGTGGATGCCGCATGACATTACTCGTGACCGATTCGTTGTTTCATTCAGAGACTCTTCAAATCGACCGAAAACGCGATGCGAAATAGCGGATTTGTTCGGTGAATTAATTCAAAAAATGTGAACACAGAACAAATTAAATTACGTAATTATTGCAACATTTTTGTTTGCTTGTTTTACTGGAATTTATAACATTTTTTTAAATTTCTATTTTACTTAAAGATATGCTTATTGCTTAAACATTATTCATTTTCAAAGCTTTAAACAATCATCAACAGATGGAAACATCTTGAGAAAGTCGGAAGAATTGTTCGATTCTGCGAGTCCTTGGTGGATAGAATATGGAAAAAATGCAATCAAGTCATGAGCTGACTGAAAAATGTAAAAAATGTAAAAAATACACAAGACTAAATCCAAACCGTTATCCAACATGCTTTTTTCAAATTAATTTCTTCTTTCCAAGATGTTTATTCGCGTATATAGCTATAGGATAGAAGATTGAATTTGATCTTGTAATATCGATTATGTTTATCTTAGATAACGCTTATGAAAAATATTTTTTGTAAATTCGAATATCTCAGAAAATATTGGTTAAATGAAAAAAATTAAACGAAAGTTGCTCTCTCTCATATTAAGATGATAAGAACAGAATATTTTTACTTAATTATAAGTCTAGTGACATAGAACTGCAAAAGCTTATTCAATACAGGTGTTTCCATTAAAATGTGACACCTATATAATATTTTTAGAATTTAATGTATAATTTTATTATTTATAACTATTACTATCTAATAACTAACGTTTTCATACTTTATAATTAATTAAATTTTTAATATTCTGTTTTAATTTGTAATTTGTGCAATCTATTTTTTAAATAATATTTAAAAAATTATTTACAGTACCTCTTAGAAGAAGTTGAAAACTACTTACAGACTGGCGATAAAAACGATATAAATATTCTGCAAAAACATATGGATCGTTACACATTAATTTTAGCAGCAAATACTGTATTACTTTCATGTGCTGGATTGATTATTTGTCTTCGCCCTTTAATTACAAAGGAACATTTTCCCGTCGATGTGTGGTACCCATCTTTTATGAATACACCATTTAGAAGACGTTTAATCTACATTTCACAAATATTTAGTGGTATAGAATGTGTTCTATGCTTCAATATTGATATCACAATCGCATTGTTTTTCTGTTATTCTACGGCTAGACTGGAAGTATTACAACGTAATCTACAAAATCCAAAAACCAAAGATTACATACGTCAATGTATCAAACAGCATCAAAATATTATTAAGTAAGTAATATATGTATATTATCTTGTAATAATATTTATTTATAGAGATGTATATTTTTCTAATATTTCTAATATGAATCTAATATAAATTTTATATAATAATATTTAAAAAATTTCAGGATTTTCTGTATGAAATATTTCACTATAGAATATAATACATACGTTTAACTTGTAATTTATTGCAAATAAATGTTGATAAATATAAGAGTATAATAATATTTTGAGATTTAACAAGTATAAAATTTATTCAGATTTTCTCATCAAATCATATAGTAATAAAATTAATATAAATTAGCATATTGTCACGTTCGACGCCTTGCAAGCGCAAATTCCTTTTTTCCATTCCTTTCTAAGGAACACGCGAGCGTTATATTATATATTGTACTTGTGCTAGTATTCGTTCATTGCAAGTTGTTACTACAATGAGTAAAGTTTTCTTTTCATTAAAGCTTGTTGATAGGAAGCGATAACGGGATAGATAATTAATTTTTTTTCCTTTTTTCTTCTTTTTCTTTTTCAGAAATTAAATGATGATCGAGTGCATTGAGATTTTCTATTAGTCTCAAGTGCACTGTTCTTAGATCCCCATTAAATAAAGAAAAATATAATCCGAGTTGTCATTTAATTTTTACGATAGCAGATCTATTGAGATATAATCACAGAACTAAAGGGCCGCGTAACTCTTATGTGGCGCACGATCACGAGCGCACAGTATGCGGCGTGCACAATGAAATTCCACAATGAAAAGCTCGCGAGTGCATAGCGTAAAAACTAGCGATCTTAAGTCGCTAATTACTCCAAATCCTTACTAATTATTGAATAAATGATTGCAGAATATGAATATATATAAAATACCCTAACTCTGTATCAAATTCTGTAAGTATTCACCCATTAAATTAAAAGTTAAATGACGGCTCGATAACATAATTTATTACCCTCTTTTAAATGGAATTTTGGCTTCCCTTCACGCCCTTATTATCAAGATAACCATATATAAACCTGTCAATTTCGGCACAGATCGTTCAGTACGTTCGTTTCATACGTTCGGTACGAACCTGCTATTGATTGTAAGGACTAATTAAATACATCATTCAATAATCAATCAGTCTTTTTTTTAAGGATCCGAGGGCAATGTGCTGAACCCCCCAGCGTCTTTTTAGCACCACCCCGGCGCCCTGCTTTTCCTCCCCTTAAGCCTTTCCTTCTTACGCGCGGACTCCTGGCGCCCTTCCTCTCCTTCCCCCCCAATTTCTCTCTCTCTCTCTCTCTCTCTCTCTCTCTCTCCCTCCCTCTCTCTCCCTCTC